GATCTCTGGACTGTAGGGGTACAGTGTGACCCAGACTGGACCGGCGATCTCTGGACTGCAGGGGTACAGTGTGACCCAGAACAGGGGTGATTTAACCCCAGTATGTGTATGAACATTTCTTTCTCTGTTAGGTTGATGAGAAACAGAACGTGTTCAGGCCAGTGAGGAGAAACTAATTCCAGTGATACTTACCCAAAAGATGAGGTTGAAGATGAACATCAGATATTTAACGCAAGAGAGACACCCTCTGGACAGAGCCATCCTGAGAGAGAGGAGAGTAGGAAAACGACAGATGTTGAAGAGGGTTCATCAGGCCGGGCGAGTTCAGAACCAGCCTCCAGCTCGGCAGGATTCAGCAACACTGCCAAGCGCCCAGCAGAGCTCTTCCGAAACACAGCAAAGACAAACAGAGAAGCTTCTAATCACCAGGTAGGCCAGAGAGAGTCAGGACTGGGGCCAGTCTGGGCCAGCAGGACTCTGATCTCACCCTGCCTCTCTTCTGCAGTGAGCAGACTCACACCAGCAAGTGAGGATGCAGGGAGCAGGAGCTCAGGGGCACAGGGCATCTTTCCAGAAACAGTGGGGCTCAGATCTTTACATCAATTAACTACTAGTGACCAAATGGGCCAGATGGGTTGTTTGACTGCTCTAAAGTTTCTCATTTTCATTTGCTTGAGGGATTAAGGTAAAATGGTGTTAAATGGTCACAACAGCTCACAACTGCGATACTCCTGAGACAAACTAATTTCATCCCTTCAACAGAGAACAATGAGCTTCCTTCACCTCCTAACGCAGGTCTTGATTTTTCTGCAGTGATTCATCTGTCCTCCAGCCTGTCTCGGAGTTTTAAATAGAGCGGTGCGACCCCTGACCCCTCATTGTGTTGAGACAGGAAGTGCTGACAGGGTGTTGACTGCGTCCTGCTCTACTGCGCTGGGGTAAATCTGCTCGCCTTGGGCACGTCACTGGACTTCACTGCGCTTTCTCCCAGTTTTACTGCACCATCTTGTGCTTCCTGTGCTGCTGTAAATATTATGATGAAAGGTAGAAGAAAAATATGTATGTAGTGTTATTCAGGAATGTGCAGGTGTGTGTTTTTCAGGTGAGTATGTTCTTCAGGAGTGTGCGGGTTAGTGTGTGTGTTGATCAGGTGAGTGTTGTGCAGGTGTGTGTTGTTCAGGTGAGTGTGTGGGTGTGTGTGTTGATCAGGTGAGTGTTGATCAGTTGAGTGTGTTATTCAGGAGTGTGCAGGTGTGTGTGTGTTGATCAGGTGAGTGTTGATCAGGTGTGTTGTTCAGTTGAGTGTGTTCCTCAGAAGTGTGCAGTTGTGTGTGTGTTGATCAGGTGAGTGTGTTATTCAGGAGTGTGCAGGTGTGTGTGTTGATCAGGTGTGTGTTGTTCAGGTGATTATGTTCTTCAGAAGTGTGTGTTGGTCAGGTGAGTGGTTTTTAGGTGTGTGTTGATCAGGTGAGTGGTGTTCAGGTGTGAGCTCAGTGCTCCTCTGCAGGTGCGCCCTAAGTCAGATTCCCACTCCAAGCCCAGTGCCCTCGTGAGGCTGTATGTACAGGGCCTCAGTCAAGCGTGATCCTGAAATTAATACAAATAATAAATGCAATATAATGCTCACTCATTTTGCTCACTCAAGTGATCATAAGTATTGGGAAACATTCACTTTTAGTCAGCTTCAACGTGTAAAATCAACATTTGAATAAATATAACTACAATACCTCATTGAACTCACCAATTTTCTATAATAACTGAGATGCTTTGTTACACCTCTGCTGCAACCAAATTCTTGGTATTCCCAACTTCCGTTTTGTTTTTAAGGATGCAAAATCCCTCCGTATGTTTCAGGTCATTGTTGTGTGGCGGGGTGGACTGCAGCCAAGTAAGAATGTATAAGTAATAAAACCCAACGCCGTTGTAAACTTGAGTTCATTCTGCCGCTACAGTGATCAGGACATTGGAGTGAGTCACTTCCAGAGGCAGTCATGACTTTACCTCCAGCAAGCTGTATCGAGGTGGGCAGACATGCACAAGACACAAGGGCACAAGACGATCTGCAGACCCTTGCTTTCTTTAGCCTTTACATCACTTTGGTGAAGGTTGATCTTGGGCTCTTCTGTCCATCAAACTTTGCTCCAAAACTCTCCTGACTCATCTTTGTACTTCTGAGCAAATTCCAGTCTGTTGTTTGTGTCCCAGGAGCTGATGAGAGGTTAGAACTTGCGGTGCAGTCTGTGCAATTCTGCTCTGTCCTCTGTGAACAGTAGATTCTGGCACCTTCGCCGCGGTGCTCAGGGGTGGTGATTTTACTGACAAGTATTTTAGTGTTTTCCTTGACAGCTCTGATACTTTCTATGAGCTCTGCTGTGTTTCCTTGTCTGATTGGTAATTATACCTGCGGTTTCTTTCTTCTTCAGCAGATTCCAAATTGTTGAGGAAGGAATGCACAGTTGTTCGGACTGAGCTTTTCTAACCTTCCAGCTATACAAATGCCTGCTTTTATTTCACAGAAAACTCTTTGGTTTTCATTTTGTCTGCGAGCTAAGGACTCCAGACACTGAAGTCAGCCCAAGGCAGGCTGATCAGAGCTTCACAGCTCGTTTGTGAGACTAGTTACCCAACAACAAACACCTGAGCAGCAAGACACAGCTGTCAGCCCAGAACTCCTTCTCCTTCAGCATGAAGTAGCTCAAGACTATGTGATTAACTGCCTCTCGAGGGAAGCTGTGTGAGACACAATTGCCTCAGACCTTGCTGGCCAGTACTACTGAAGGGCACTGTGTGTCTTGAAACTTCATCAGTGCACAGACTGCACACCAGCGCTGCCCATATCTCTGTCTGTAACAATTTACTGCCCTGTCTCTCCTTCTCCTCTCACTCCTATCCCCCTCTCTCTCCTGTCTCCCTCTCTCAATTTCTATTTCAACACAACATCTACAGACATGTAAAGAAAAAACACATCATAGGACATTTACATACATCACACAACATCATTTTCTCTCTCTCCTCTTCCTCTCCTTTCTTCCTTCAGTTCAATTCAAGAAGCTTTACTGGCACGACCAGTGAATAAACCAGTGTTGCCAAAGCAAGTATACAAATACAATTAACACAAGATCTACAGACATTTACAATAAAGACACAACATAATACATTCACATACAAACATGGAGCATTACTGGGAGACAAGCTCAATGTTCCTCAGGCTGGGACAGGAGATCACACACTGTATTATTATTATTGAGAGACGGGCTCACTGTCTGTTCCTCAGGCTGGGACAGGAGATCAC